TCCCCCTCCCCCCGTACTTCGCCTCTTTTTGTCGAAATAAAATTTAAATATCATTTTATTATATATATATTAAAATATTAAAACCTTTTTAACGGATTATTATTATATCTATAAAAAAAAACTCAATATTGAAATTTTATCATTTACCATTATTATTATTATTATTATTATTATTATTATTATAAATTTTTTTTTGCTGTTGTTCGATTTGAGAAGGGGGGGAGGGGAGAGGGAGGAAGAAGGCAGGAAATTTTTTTTTTTTTGTTTACCTATAATAATGATTTTTACGTCACGTGCTTTCACGTCACCTTATTATTTTTTGTCAAAAAAGGTGCGAAATATAAACACAACAACAACAAACAATAACAAACACAATAGAAATGTTTTAAAAAGAACAAAAGGTTGAAAAAAAATTTTTTTTTTTTTTTACCTGTGAAAGCTAAGTGAGGTGTTGCCTTGGCAACCTTTTTTTTTTTTTTTTGTCTTCTTTATCGATAACCCAATTTTATATGTAACTCAAGTTTACTATGTTTTTCTTTTATCACGTGACATAAACCATTTTTTTTTTTTTTACGGTTCAATTAAAATGAGAGAAAAAGAATGCGACTGATTGATTTGAATTTATTTATTTTTTTTTTTCGTTAAAAAAAATTTATTTTTATATTTATAATTTATAAAAAGGTTGGAAAAAAGTTTCGAGAGAGAGAGAAATTCGAACGAAAAATAACAAAACAAAAGTAATCCGAACCGCAAAAAAAAAGTAGAAGAAAAAAGAAGGTGAACTTGAAATTACACGTGACCTTGCGGAATTATTTAACCGAGAACAAGGACGAACGTAAAAAAGAGAGAGAGAGAAAAACAACAGCAGCAGGAGCGGAAGGAGTAAATGCAACAACAACAACAGCAACAACAAGGACAGAAGATACGTGTTATTTATTTATTTTTTTTCGCAGAGTCATAAATTATGTAAAAAAAAATAAAAAAATTTTTTTTTCCCTCCCGATTTCGTAAGCCCGTAAAATTATTATTATTATCATTATTATTATTATTATTTAGTGGGAGAACAATAACAAAACTAAAATTTTTCTTTTGTTGTTTGTTTGTTGCTTTTACTCGATTTCACAATTTAAAAAAAAAAATGTTTACTCACTTATAAATATTTAATTAAAATTATTACGCTTTTATTATTATTATTATTATTATTACCATCATTTAATTAACTGGAAAAATTACGTGAAAAATTAACAAATGAAAAAATGTTAAAACTTACCGTATAATAACAGCAAACGAGAAAATGATGGAAAACCGGAAGTGACGACTTACTTGACAAATTCCAAAAAAAACTGGAATGATGTCGGGAAAAGTCTATTCCTGACTGATGAATATCAAAAGTTCTGGAAAAAAACGTGTCATATTATCGACTAAAATAACACGTGTGAAATAATAATAATAATAACAACAGGTTGTTACTTACTTTGTTTACAAACAAACAAATAAAAACAATAAAATTTGTTTCGGTTTAAATTCCAGCAGAAAAAAAAAAAAATTCACAGAAAACTAGTTTTAACAACAACAACAACAAACAAATATTTTTCGAACGAAAAAAAAATTAATAATAATTAAAAAAAAAACAAACAAACAAAATCCGATTAGAAAATTATTACGTAATAAAAATAAAATAAAAAAAAACGTTCGAAACGTTCGAGTACGTACGATAACAAAAAACGAACTGGAAAAACAAAAGTAAAAAAAATGGAAAAATCTTCGTTTTAAACGCCCACGAATTTTCTTCTGCTTTTTTTTTTTTAAAGTTTTTCCTCTTTATCACGCACATTCATTCATTCATTCACTAAATACGCACTTAATATTAATAATAATAAATTTTTTTTTTTTTTAAATAATAAATATTCGGAAAATCGGAAAGAGAAAAGAAAAAAGGTTTTTTACAATGACCGTTATCGTGACGGTAATCGTTAATAATAATAATAACAATGATAACGATAATAATGATAATTAAATAACATCCAACACCGTAATTTATTATTATTAATCATAAATTCTTGTACATATACATAATTATTTATATATATATATAAAAAAAAAAAAATTAATTACAAATCCGATATACTTAACACATAGAAAAAAATTTGAGTATTTACAAAAAGGCTTTTCCGACTTCCCCCCACCCACCCTCCTTCCCACTTTCCCCCCATATCACGGTAAACGTGACGACATTATTATTATTACGTAATAAAAAGTATTTAAAGCCTTATTTGAGCCTTTTTTATTTCTATTATTAAAAATTATTAATAATAATAATAATAATATTGTAAACAAACAAAAATCATGATAAATTATTATTATTATTATTATTATTATTATTATTACTAAATTAATTTCGTAAGTCGTCGTATCGAAACAAATAAAAAAAAAAAAAAGAAAAATCTTACGTAACGACTAATAAAATAATTAATAAGCTAAATACGATAATAATTACAACGATAATAATAATAATAATAATGATAATAGTAATTTAAAAATATAAATATTATGACGTAACGCCGTCGCTTGTAATAATAATAATAATAATTACAACAACAAAAAAAAAATTAATTTTTCTTTTTTTTTTTTTTTTGAAAAATCATCACAAAGTCATGGAAATTAAATAATTAATTACACGTTAATAATAATAATAATAATAATAATCATTATTATTATTAATTTTTCGAGAGGTTTCCTTTTCAATAATAATAATAATAATAATAATAATAATAACGATTAGAGTTTTAAACATTAAAAAAATTTAAAAAAAAAAAAAAAAAATTTCCGAACGAGTTTTCCCCACAAAAAAAAGAGATATTTAAAAAGGAAAACTTTTTTTTTTTTTTTTGTTGAGTAAAACGGAAATTGAAATGTTGGCAACACTGGGACGTCATAAAAAAAATAAAAACTCATCGATTTTTTTCTGTTTTTTCCCCGTTTTTCCCAACAAATTTTAATTTGATAAAATTTTTTTTGTGTCCACACAAAAAAAAAAAAAAATTTTTAGATGATGATGATGATGATAATAATAATAATAATTATTATTATTATTTACATTAAAAAACGTTTTTTTTGTTGTCGATTTAAATTATTATTATTATTATTATTGTATTTGTCTTCCCTTTTTGTTTTGTTTATATAAATACGAAAACATAATCGGATGTTGGTGAAGATTTCCCGCCTTCTCCTCTTTCTCCCTTCCCCAAAAAAAATTTCATATTTGAAATCAGTCTTGATCGTTTGACAAAAAAAAAGGACAAATTTTAGAAAAAGACAAACTAACAATTCGGGAAGACAATTTTTTTTTTTTTTTTCATTGAAATATTCTGGAAATAATGTCACTTTTGAAACAACCATTTTTTCAATCCCATTCGCCGACAAACATGGTTCTTGGAGCTTGGGGGATGTATGATCTCGTCGGAACGGGTAAACGTCCATAAATATGATTGTACGGGGATTCCAAATGATCAGAATCTGTAATAATAATAATAATGATAATAAAGTTAAATGTTAATTGTAAGAAAATCTCTCTCATAATTGGAAAACTTACCCATTCCGCTTTCGTAACTTCTAGTGTGCCATAATGGAGGTTGTTGGTAACTCATATAATGCGGACCTGGATGAGGATGAGGAGGAGGAGGATGGGGAGGGACGCCATATGAAGGCATCGGATACCCTCGTACGCTTTCTCTTGTTTCCTTTGGTAAAGGTTTCGTTCTGTTTGCTGAGAGTTTAACAAAATTTGGTACTCTGGCACTGAGACCACAATAATAAGGGTCATCTAACAACAAAAAAGAAAAAAAAAACCGCGATATGAAAATTTATTCAAGATGAAAAGATGTCTATTAAATTATTATTATTATTATTAATTTTCCTTACCGTGTTTTTTACTATCCTTTGACTTATCTTTACCTCTGGACGATTGAAAAGGTCTAAATAATTTAGAGGGTAACTTGCTATTATTTTCTTCTTCTATGTCATCGTAATCCGGCTGGAAACAAAAAAAAAGATTTCAATTAAAGAATTACGTATAATCATCATCATCATCATCATTATCATTATTATTATTTTCTACCTTAGGAATGTCATGTGGATAAGCAACATTGTCTCTAGGAGGTAACTTGGGAGGTTTGTCACTTCTTCTAGCTTGTTGAAGAAGGAGTTGTTCCCGTGTGGCAGCCACGTAGCCAGCTGGTGGACCGTTGCTAGACATCATCGGACCGCTGGTATTTGAACCGGAACTTCCGCTACCGTTTCCAGCGACGCTATATGGATCTTCATCGGGGATTGGAATTCTCGGACGATTTCTTATATCGACGGCTCTTTGAACTAAACAAAGAAAGAAATTTTTTTTTATTGTCTTTTGTTCTCTCTCTCTCTCATGTAAACAAATTTAATTAAAAGAATCGTTATTCGATTCCTTTGTTTTTCCTTTCCTTTGTTTAATTAAATAATTAATGAATGGTAATCGAATGTAACTTTTTACAACAAACGATTCTTATTTTATGGTTTCTCACTCACTCACCGGGTGGTAATTTTGATTTTAACATGTCCAACGCGACGACATTTATTATCATGACCCATACTGGACAATTAAGAATTTCCTTTTCGTTTTTAACGAATACTATTGTGCTTAAACATTGACATTCCAGACGTCTTCTATCCGGGTAGGCTCTTTGAAGTTCTCTCGTCACGTTTTGTTGAAATTTTGTCATGTCGAATAACTGAAAAAAAAATTAAATTATTTATATTCTCATCCTTCAATTGAAAATTTTTTTTTTACCCGCGCGCGTGTGTGTTTTTTATCATTATTATTATCATCATCATGAACGAGACACGAGTAACTCGTATTGTTATAAAATAACAACAAAAAATTTATAATAATAATAATATTTATTTTATTTTATTTTTCCGTAAAAAAAGAAAAAGTGAAAGTCTCGAAGAATTTAATAGGAAAAAAAAAAAAAACAAAATGGCGACGACGGAATTAAATCACAAAAGAGTTCAAAGGAAAAAAAAAAACTTTTTTTTTTTCATCAAAAGGTTTTTGTTGTTGTAATGAGTTGTCAAAAGAAAATCGAAACCGATAATTATTAAAAAAAAAAAAAAAACAATATGGCGTCTTTCTCATTTGGTGGCCTCAATCATTAAAAACAAAAAAAAAATAACTAGGAAGCAAATTAATAAAAAAAAAATTCGTGATTAATATTATTATTATTATTATTGCATGTTTTTTTCGTTGTTTAAATTATTACGAAATTATTATTATTATTACTTTTTGATGACCTCAACGGTAAAAGGTCATTCAATTTAATATAATTTAAAAACTAGATAGAATTGCTGGAGGAATCTCGAAAGTTTTCTACTCCTGGAAAATTATTTACTGGAAACTTCATATCTGTTGTGTGCGTGTGCGTAAAGAACACGATGATGATGATGATGATTTGGTCATTTCATTTTTTTTTGTTCGGGGGGAGTGGTGGGAGGAGGGGAGGGAGTGTGGGGAGGAGGATTCGGTGTCGAATGTTCGAGTAAAAATAAAATATTATTATTATTACATGATGCAGAAATATTTTATGGTTTATATCGATACGAATCGATAGAAAGAACAGATTATATATAAACGCATAGAATAATAAAACCGGAAATTGCATGAAAAGAGTAAAAAAAAAAAAACGGAAATAAACATTTATAAGCGAACGTCGAAACACTTTGAACGTTGTCGCGTAAATTTTTTTTTTTTTTTAATTATTTCGAACCGAGTCCTTAAAATTACATTTGAAAAAAAAAATGAAATTCAAAATGGCCGCCGGATATATATGCATATATTTAATTTATTTTTTAATGTTACCTTGTAAGGTTTATCAGGTTCGAGTGAATTATTTCCTCCTGATTTTAATACGTCAGAACCAATGGAAGTTTCGTCCGTTCCATTCGGACTCGTGTTTTTAATAAATATTTTACATTTATTAGAAACTCTTTTTATTAATATATTTCCCTGATCGTCCATTTTTATTTTAACACCGTGATCAATTAATCTTTTACAATTTAAAGTATCTTTATCTCTCATCGGATTATCAAAACCGTTCAAACCGATTCTGAAAAAAAAAACAAGAAAAAAACCGTTAAAAAACGTTCGAATTCGCCATTTTGAAATGAGAAAATATAAGAGAGAGAAAAATGTCGCATACCTGAAACCGTCAAATCCATCATCTGATCCGTTAATTGTCAATACAGGTGCGCGCGCATATGCTTTTGCTATTCTTCTGTTTCTTTCGAAAAGTATTACTTTTGCCCATATTTCATCTTCTATTTGATGCCATTTTTCTAAAACTTCTTGTATGTGATCCTGAAATTATTAATATTATTATTATTAAGGATTGTTATGTGAAAATTATTATTATTATTATATGGTTTTTTTGTTTCGAAAGTTCTAGAAAGTGTTTTTTTTTTTTTTATAACTCATTGAAAAGAAGAAGTGATGACTTGTTCGGGTCACGATTTTTTTTTCTTTTGAAAGTGGCACAAAATTCGGAGGCTTTCCCCCTCCCCCGCCATTTTTTTTTTCGTAAGGTTCAACGTAATTCTTATCACGATCGTTTGATATTATTATTATTATTTTCGATAAGTTTTATTACCGAAATAAAATAAAGAAATTTTTTAAATAATAAAAAAACTATGTGAGAATTTTTTTTGGTTGTTGTTGACCTCTCGATTTGAATTTTTCCTTTAAACCGCACCCACCTTATACACCCGTCTCTTTCCCCCTCCCCCTCCCCACCGGTAATAGTATTAAGGTCCCAATATTTGCCTTCGGTGGAGGGGGGGAAGAAGGAAGGAGAGGAGAAATACCTTGAACCGAAAGGTCTCTTTTAAAATCCTTTTAAATTCAATATGGTTGCCACCAATCGATGCTCCCGCGTTTTTCGCATCGATTAAAAAAAATTTTCCCTCATACCTGACGTTGATGATGATGATGATAATAATAATAATAATGATTTTTCCTGATCTTTTTTTTAAAAAAAAAAATTCCTGTTTCAAGGCGATCGACTGACTGACTACAAATTTAAAGTAGTTCGATTAGAAACTTTTCATTTTTTTTTTTTTTTCGATATTTTAAATAAAAATCCGGTAAAAGAACAAAAAGAAAAAAATTTTTTTTTTTCAAGGTTGAATTTTTTTAAGGTTGGTATCACTGAGAATTTTTTTTTTTGGAGTTCGTTACGTGAACCTGATTTCTTATAAAATTTCATTAGTTATATCAATTAAACACGTTTTTAAAAAAATAAAAATTTCTTTGTTGTGTGTGTGTAACAAACGACAACCGACAACCAACACACATGCAAACAACGAGTGTAATTTATTATTATTATTATTATTATTATTTATATCATTCACCCGTTTAACCCGTAATAAAATTATTCCAGTTATTTATAATCTTATTTAAAATCAAGAGAAATCCGTTAAGTAATTATTCAGGTTCATATAAAAGGTTCGTCGTGAAAATTCCGTTTTTTTTTATCAACAAACAAACAAACAACAAAAAAATCCCGGTTGAAAATCCTGAAATGATAATAATAAACAATCAACAAAAGGTCATCGAAAAAAGCAAAAGAAATTTTTTTTTTTGTCTGATAAAAAATAATATCATAATAATAATAATTGGTATAAAAATCCGCCATTTTGAAAAATGAATTGAAGTTATTATTAAAATTGAAACTTTTTTTTTTTGCGTTTGTAGTTGTACGAATTGCGTGACCCGACATTTTTTTTCTTTTTTTGCACAATTTCCTCGGTTTAACCGATTTTTATCATTTATTTATCCAGTGGGGAGAGGGGGGAATAAATAGATAGTGGGTCATTCGCTGGAGTTAATTTTTATATATTGGCCTTGGACTCCATTTTTTTTTTTTTTTTATTTCTTTAACGTTAAAGTGCAATTTTTTTTTTTAAAAAAAGTTACAAATTTACACGGAAAAAAAAAAAATAATGATGAGAAAAATGGCGGATTGTTAATAATAATAATAATAAAAAGTGAAAATAAATAAATAGTAGTTTTGAGAAAAAAAAGGAAGTGAAAAAGGAAATACATAAAAAAAAAAAAAAAGTAGCAAAACTAATATTTCAACTCTCACTTTTTTTCTTCCTTTTTTTTTTATAATAAATTTTTTTCTGTATTTATATACTACCCAAGTGTACGTTCATTTATTTATTTATTGTTTATTTACTCTATGAAATTTTTATTTTAATTTTTAATTTCATAATAATTTTTTATTGTAAATGACGTCATAGCGTCAAGGACGTCGTCGTTTATTTATCGTTATACGCTCTGATTCTCAACACGAATATACTCTTAATTATTTATTTATTTATTTATTATTATTATTATTATTTTTATGTAACTTTATTAAAACGTTTTAACGTAAGACTACGTAAAAAAAAAAATTTTTTTAAACAATGAAATAATTAAATATAATAAAAAAAAGGGGGGAAAAATTAATTTTTTTTTAAATAAACAAATAAATTTTTATTTATTTATTTATTTCAGGTTAATAATGATAATAATAATTAATAATAATAATAAATGATTGTCAACTTGGTAGCAGTACCGTTTTTTAACAATAATAAATACCTGATTTAATAAGGTTTCATTTTTTCTTTGCATATTACCTTTTGGCTTACTCGAAAGGCATATTAGCGCGAAAAAAATTTTTTTTTTTTTTCGGTTAAATCGAACGAGGCCAAATAAATTTCACTTAATTTAATTTTAACTATTATTATTATTATTATTGGATGTCCATAAAAAAAAAAAAAAGTAAAAATTTTTTATTGGATTTTACAATAAACTTTCCATATTTTTTATTTTTATAAAATTAAATTTCTAATTATAAATTCGATAGTGAATCACGACGATGATGATAATAATAATAATAAAATTGTCAATAATATTTTATTGTTTTAAAAAAAGGCAATAAATTACGTCACGTTTTACTCAAAATCAATTTAATAAAATATTTTTTTTTTAACGAAATATATATAAAGGGAATTATTCATTTTTTTTTTTATTAAATTGAAAATTGAATCGTCGCATATGGTAATAAAATAATTTAATACCGTTAAAACTTGACCTTTCACCCCCCCACTTACATCCTTATACGTATATATATATATATAAATCAAAAAATTCTCGTACGAAAATACATTATATTTATTCTAATTCCACGTTGAACTCGATCCGCTCGTGCCCTCCCTCCCCTACGCGTACGCCCGATAATAATAATTTAATTTAATTTAAAACTATTAACCGTAAAAAAATAACGTTTTTTTTTGTTTCAGGTACGACCGACCGACCGACATAAAAGTTTTTTTTTTTTTTGTTTTCCGCATACCTTTTAAAAATAAAAAATAATTGAAATTTTATTACGTAATTTTCTTTTTTTTAAAAAAAATTTTAAATCAATTGTATGAAATTATCATTTAATAATAGTAATAATACAAAATTCATTTTTTTCTTTCCCGTACCACGTGCTACTCATGCTACCAACTTTTCGGAAAAAAAAAGGCTGATCAGGTAAGAAAAAAAAATGGTGGAATAGCATTAAAAACTGAGAGAGAAAAAAAAGGAAAAAAATTTGATACATATGTTGGGGATTTTATTCAAGGTAATTATTGGCCTATGGCAAGGTCTCATTGATCAGTATTGCCAACATAAAATAAAAAATAAAATAAATTGATTTTGCCCGACGAAACGAATTTTTTTTTTATTTTTTTTTGTTCCCCAGACGTTAATTGGTTTCGATGAAATAATTTATTATTATTATTATTATTATTATTATTAAAAAAAAAAAGGTAACAAACAGGATTGTTGCGTTGGTTGTTGGTTTTAATAAATCCCATTAATAATGACTCGTCTGTTAAATTTTGGTCATCCAGGATTTTCCAAAGGTGTGTTTTTATGTGTGCGTGTGTGTGTAACGGAAATAACGACAAACAACCGGTCATCGGACTTTGTTCTTTCATTTATTCATTTTTAAAACAAAAGAAAATTTTAAAAAAGAATTTTCCAGACGTTTCTTTTTTTTTTAACAACAAAATCTAGTCAAAAAGTTTTCCCCCTTCCTACCAATTAAATACAATTTGAAATATTTTATTTAATTATTTGACCCAGTAGTGAATGCGCTATTATTATTATCATTTAAACAAAAAAAAACCTTCGTTCGAACGTTTGTCGTTTGTTAGCAATTATCAAATAATAATAATAATAAAAATGGATAAAAATTTTTATTAAAAAAAAAAAGAAAAATCACATTTGGAGGCCGACTACCACGATTAATTAAATGTTTGCATTTTTCAACCACGCCTAAAAGTTGCTCAACAACAAACAACAACAACCAACTCCGCGTAAAACATTTAAAAACAATAAATATTATTATTATTATTATTACGTACA